AAAAAAGGGAACAGAGGCTCCTTCTGGAGGGGCAGTGGGGCGAGAGGGTTCAGGTCTGTCTCCCCCAAAAATCTCTTGGGCTATTTCATCCTCTATATCCTGATCGATGAAACTGCTTGCTTTGTATTGGGAGAGTCGAATTCTCTTTTCTCCCGGAAGCATGCCTTTAGGGCTGCTATTGTTGCATGCAAACCTGGTGGAGGGGTCTTTTGCCTGTTCTTTTCAGCCTGTTCCACAACAAGCTTCCCTACCTGATCCCAGGTGTCCCATGAGAAGAGGTCCCCCAGTGGGAACCCAAGGAGTCACGTCAAGGATAGCGCCCCAAATCTTAGATGCCCTATCCTCAGAGAATTCTAGCCCTCAGCTCTTTAGCAGATAATGCACCTTCTGAATGGGGTTGCCCATGATATTGGGGAATCTAGTGTGGTCGAAAAGGTCAAGATAGGTGATGGTTCTGCTAGGAGACCACCGAGACAAAGGAAAGAATACAGAGGAGAGGCTTAGCAACGTTCGCAATAAAGGGTGACGAATGGAATGATTGTCAACAAGTTCCTGCCAGTTGCATTTTTTCTTCTGCTGGGGATGCGAGTTTATCTGGGACTCATGGCTGTGACCCCCTTATCTTATCACGGGAGTCTTCCAGCAGCGAGTGCCCTAATGGCATTTAAGTGCCCGACTGGTGCCACGGGGAGAACAGACAGCACGTCTTAACAACCACGTGAAAATCTTTTTTTTTTTTCTTTTTGGGTCACACCCGACGGTGCACAGGGGTTACTCCTGGCTCTGCACTCAGGAATTACTCCTGGCGGTGTTCAGGGGACCATATGGGGTGCTGCGAATCGAACCCCGGTTGGCCTTGTGCAAAGCAAATGCCCTACCCACTGTGCTATTACTCCAGCCCCCCGGGTGAAAATCTTGAGGTACTCCATAAGCCTTTTTTACTCCAGCTTATAAGATATTCCCTACAGTCTGGAGAAGTAGGTCTGTACAAGGCCCAGGCCTTTTTGAAATGACTGAGTGCATCCATTCTTAACCCCTCATAAGACGGAGACTGATCTTCCTCCAGCTGGATGGGGAAAAAGAGTTGGAGCTCATGGGGTCTGGGTGGGATTGACCACTTACGGTCGAGAGGTCTCAGCTGTAAGCTTCTGTCGAGAGCATGTCCTGAGCAGCCTGAGTGCTGCTTGGCGGAGGAGCGGCAGCTCCTGTGAGAAGCCTTCTCTACCAAGCCACTCTCAGACTCAGAATCTGAGGAAGTGGTAGCTGGCTCATCACACACATCACTTTCCTCTGATGCACTGGAAGTGGAGTCATACAGAGGAGGTGGGGATCTCTCAGGCTTGACGTCAATAAGGAACGTTAATTCACCAGCATCACAGAGACTTTTACTCTGAGAACGTGTTTCCACTGGAAACGTGTTGAGCTTCTTTCAGGGCTTGGATATGGGGGTAGCTAAGTATTGGGCATTGGGCTTCTTTATAGCTTGGGTATGGGGAGGAGCCGAGGCTCTCAGTACTAGGAACTCTCTTCATTTCATCCTCCAGTTTAAGATCCTCTCTGTTTATTAACTCCTGAGGAAAGCCTCTCATAGTATACCTAACATCCTCCTCCTCGGAGGTACCTTCCAGAGCCTTAAGAATGGAGTTAACAATTTCCCAAGTTAACCAGAATTATTTGGGGATCCGAACCCCTCCTTTAAATTCCCTGAAGACATTATCCTTAATTCTTCCCCAAACCTTAGGCTCCAAAGTAACAAAGTACCCTTATCTGGAAACCAAGGATGAAATTTATAGACAGTTTTTTGTCAGTACCAGAGTTGGTCCCGAGAAACACAATGTCCAGTTCTATGTGCAAAATGTTTAATCAATTCAATAAAGAACCTGCCACGTTCAGTGTGGCACAAAAGATTTTGAAAGGGCTTGATATGACACTGTTTTTGTCCCATCTCAGTGGGGAAGTACAGCTAATATTCTAATTCACTGCACCACAAAATCCTGTTCTCCCACTAAACTTTTCTAGAGCGGGGGTCTACCAAACGCTGTTCTTACCTTCAGTTGCGCACCAGCTAGTGGTTCAGGCCCACCTGGGGACACCGGATGTTTATTCAAAAAATAAATTATGAAGGGGCCTTGCGGCTGCTCTCTCCCTCTCACCACCTGCATTCAGTGTTCTCGGGCCACTTCCCCCACCCTGGGGAGGCCAATGACGATGGGCAGATGAAGGAGAAACCAGGACCAGGCAGGTTGGTGTCAGTTGCAGTTTATTCCAGTCCGATCTCCATTCTCTTCTGATTCTCCCCCTGCTTCTCCCTCCCCCTTTCCGATCCTACAGTCTTAGTTAAAACGCAAATCATGAGGAGTTGGGAGAACAGCCAAACGCAGGTGTGGTCACACAATCAACAGAGGTAAAGTCCTTCCCTCAGGGGAAGCCTCCTCCAGGACAGACTCCCATCTGGCGGGACGACACCCTCAAGAGCGAAATCCCATGGGTGTGCCTCTCCTCTCCTTGTCCAACAAACATACATTCATAATATTAATCATTTTTTTTGGACACAGTAAGAGATACGTTAAGCTTATAGGATTGCTCTCCTGGAGCCATCTCACTATAGACCTCAGACTACAGTGCTCAGGTCAGATTAGTCTTTCCTAACCCTAACAGGGTCCTAATCTCGTTGATACTCTTTGGATCATGACCGCATTTGTCCATGACCAAGCCCTTAACTTATAGCTAAGTATTATGGTGCTTTGGCCTGGCCCATTTCGATGCCAGGGTAGCTCATAGCTTGCCCTGGGTCCATTCAGTCCCTAGCACCCTGCTTTTGGGGTGCTAGGAAGTAAGGGCAACTGAGGCTTAAGTCAAGAAAGCAGATGCCCATGAGTGAATATTATTCAGAGTCAGTTCATTCCCAAGTTACAAAAGCATAGCATTAACTGTCTTCCTGTGTCTATACAAAAAGGACATTGCTTTAAAGTAAATTATGCAAAAGACATAAGGAGAGGAGAGGAGCGGCTCTCCGGCACGGCCATGGCCCCGGAAGCACAAGGACTTAGCACAGAGAACCAGCCGCTTGGAGCAGAAAAGCAAATGGACTATGTGTTAAACCGCGCCACCAAGCCTGCCCGGAGGGGAAAGGGTGTTGTCCCGCTCGCCTGCTCCTCTTTGGAAAGAAAGATGGCGGCCGCACGGGAGCCTTGTGGACAGCAGGTTTGAGCCGGGGGCGGGGGGCAGCGGGGGCCTCATGGGAAGGGGGGGCGTTCTGGGCCGTCCTTCACGCCCGACCGAGGTCACCGGCTGCCCCCCACGAGCGGCTCTCCGGCACGGCCACGACTCCAGAGCACCGAAACCAATCTCTTAACTATCTAACTTTTAATAGAAATACTTCCAGGGTTAATAAGTGAAACAGCAGAAATCCAAAACCACGCGGCCGCTATCGACATCATTTTATTCTTAAACCAAGTTGTAGAAAGCAAATCATTTCGCAACACTGTTTCAGCATATCTGATTGGGGGGGTCGTAAACTCTAAGCAATAAGTGTGTATCTTCTATCGAAACAATGTATCTAGTCAAAGTAGATAGAGTATTAACTAGAACTCATCTGCCTCACAGGAATTGGGAGGGGTGGGAGGTGGGGTTCTATTGGGGTTCACGGTTAAAAATAAGTATTGGTAAAGGGAAATGTTTTTGATAGTTACATGACTGAGACCTAAACCCGAAAGCTCTGTAACTTTTCCCACAGTGATTCAATAAAGAAATAAGCTATTAAAAAAAAAAAAAGAGAGAGGAGAAAGGCAATACATGAATACAAGTCAAGTGTCCTTAGAAGGATCTGACCTACAAGTCAGCAGAGTCTGATTAGGGAAGAAGGTAATAGACCAGTTGGGGAAGAGAGCACAGAGAAGTTACAGATAAGCACAGAGGAATGGGAGTGACTTGGGAGCACTGCAATGGGTGCAACCCGATAGACCAAAGCTCCCTGTGGCAAGGGAGGAAGGACAAACCAATGTTAAGCCTAAAATGTTTAGAGCTATATTCCAACAGGAGGCATGGAAAATCTGTCAGTCTTACCTGCCTTTTAGATATAATTGATTTTAAAGGCTGAAATGATTGGGGTTGGGGGGGGGGGTTTCCATGATTTGTAGCTAGCAGGATCTTGGGTTTCTTTGTTTTTCTTTTTGAAGGCTACAGCCAGTTGTACTCAGGGCTTACTCCTGACTCTCTGCTAAGGGAATACTCCTGGCAGAGCTCAGGGTGGGATGCTAGGGAATCAAACCTGGCTTGGCTGTATGCAGAGCAAGTACCCAATGCACTGTATTATCTCTTTGGCCCAATTTCACTGACTTTAGATGGACTGGAGTGATAGCACAGCAGGTAGGGCATTTGCCTTGCATGTGGACAACCCAGATTCGATTCCTCCATCCCTTTTGGAGAGCCCAGCAAGCTACCAAGAGTATCCCGCCTACACAGCAGAGCCTGGCAAGCTCCCCGTGGCCTATTCAATATGCCAAACACAGTAACAACAAGTCTCACAACGGAGACGTTACTGCTGCCCACTCTAGCAAATCGATGAACAGCGGAACAACAGTGCGACAGTGCAGTATTACTTTGTGATAGCTCTTGGCTGAGCCGAGTGCCCCAGAGCCAGGCCATCCTGTTTTCTTCATGAGGTAACAGTGTTCAAGGAGACAAGCTCTCCAGAGTGGAGAAATAAATTCCCTCTGCCCTGCCCTGCCACTTTCCCTTTCATGCTGGGGCCATAACATATAACAATTGCTTTTTCTGCTTGTTGGTTTGTTTGGGAGCCGCACCCAGCAGTGCTCAGGGGTTCCTCCTGGCTCTGCATGCAGAAATCACTCCTGGTGGTGCTCGGGAACCGTATGAGATGCTGGGAATTGAATCTGGTTCGCCATGTGCTACCCACTGTAAGGTACTCTAGCCCTGTCTGGTCTTTTCCTTAGAGCCTTAGATCCTGTTGTCCCACAGAATCTCTCTTTCTGTCTCAGTCCTTCCTAGCTAATGTGCAGATTCCTGGACAGGAGACTCGGCATCGGGGAAAGTTCCATCAGTTCTCTTGGGATTCTGCCTCGTTCACCTTCTCTGCCTTTGTGACTTCCCAAGTCACCTGTGTTTCTACGAGCAAAGACCATGAAAAAATCTCTGGTGAGTAGTGTGTGTGTGTGTGTGTGTGTGTGTGTGTGTGTGTGTGTGTGTTGGGGGGGAGGGGGTGTGCCTAGTTTGAAATAGGAACGTAGAAATATTGAATGAGTGGTGAAGAAACGTCCCTGGGCCCATGTGCCCCATCCAATCGCCTGTGGTTGTAACTCTGGGGGCGGTTGAGCCACCGTTGGTGTCCAGGCACCAATTCTTGAGGCCCATCTATGTGGACCCCGTCATCCCCAAGACTGGCTCCAGACCCTGCAAATAGCCCCGCACGTGGGCTCGGGGCAGGGGAGGGGGCGGGCAAAAACTGGGGGGACCAAGCAGTAGTACAGCGTGGAAGGTGTTTACCTTGTACGTGGCCAACTCGGATTTGATCCCTGACATCCCATAGAGTCCTCTGAGCTCCACCAGGAGTGATTCCTGAGAGCAGAGCCAGGAGTCAGCCCTGAGCACCACTGGGTGTGGCCCCAAACCCAAAAAGATAAAGAAAAGAAAATTGGTCCAGAACCCTACCAGGAATGATGCCTGAGTACAGAACCAGAATACTGCCTGATATTACCCCCTGCTCCCCTAACAAAAATACATATAAGATCATTTTTTAAGTAAAGTTACAGTTCTCCCTCCACCCCCCCACTTTCTTTATGAAGGTCATTCTTACATGAATCATGAATTACTGGCTAGTCATATATTTTAATTGAATCACCATGAGATAGACAGTTACAAAGTTGTTCATAATTGAGTTCCAAGTATACAGTGTTCCCAGACCCATCCCTTCAAAAGTGTACATTTCCCACCACGAATGTCTAATGTCTCCAATTTTCTTCTTCCCTCCTCCGCCTTCTCCTTCTCATCCTCCTCTTCCTCCTCTTCTTCCTTTGCTTCTGCTTCTTTCTTCTTCTTTTTATTTTTTCTTTTTTGGTCACACCCAGCGATGCTCAGGTGTTACTCCTGGCTCTGCACTCAGGAATTACTCCTGGTGGTACTCGGGGGGCCATATGGGATGCTGGGAATCAAAAGGTTGAGGGTTGTGTGCTTTTTATATATGTATCTGGGGGGTTTTTTTGTTTTGTTTTGTTTTGTTTTTTTCAGAGATTTACTCGTGGGTGAGGCTCAGCCCGAGCGTGTGGAGAACGGCTGTGAGCAGGGCAGCGTCTGGGTTCTGGAGGTTTTCGGCTACCAGGGCCGGGTCCCTTGGAATTAGGAGGGGTCTCACCTGCCCCCCTCTGGAAAACCCCCTCTGAAACAGCCTGGCTTGGGGTCCAGTGGCATGGTTATGGCGAGTGTCATGTTGCTTCTTTCTAGGAGATTGCAATTTCTTCTTTTTCTTCGGTTTCCAGTGGGTGCTGTTTTTTTTTCCTTTCTTTTGGGGTCACACCCAGCAGTGCTCAGGGGTTAAACCTGGCTCTGCACTCAGGAATTACTCCTGGCAGTGCTCGGGGGACCCTATGGGATGCTGGGAATCGAACCCGTGTTGGGTGCTTGCAAGGCAAACATCCTACCCGCTGTGCTATCGCTCCAGCCCCCCATTGTTACATTCTTGACCTTTTTTTTTTTCCTGGACTAACTCCCTTGATTTCCTAGCTTTCTGATCAACCCAGAGTGAAGCCCTTTTCCTCCCAACTTGGTAAAACTTATGCTCTATGTTCCTTGATAGGTTTGCAGTTAAGCCATGTGGGCCACACCAACGATACTCAGGGGTCACTTCTGGCAGGACGCAGGGGACCCTATTGAGATGCTGCGGATCAAACCCAGGCTGGCTTCATGCAAGACAGATACTCTACCTGCTGCACTCCAGCCAACCATTTTGTCATTTTGTGTCTTTTTTTTTTTTTTTTGCCACACATGCTGGTGCCCTGGCGTTGCTACCATCAGTGCATGAAGAGACCGTGTGTCCCAGGGGTGGACCCAGGCCTCCTGCATGCCAAGCCTCAGTTGTCTTTAATGGTTCCTTCTCTCCAGTTCCTGCCTCCTTCCTGTTGGTTCTCTAGTGCCTTCAGACTGATAAAAACTTGGAGGGCTGGAGCTATAGTTAAGTGATTAGGGCATTCGTCTTGCACATGGCTGACTCAGGTTCAATCCCCGCCTTCCCGTATGGTCCCTCAAGCACTGCTAGGAGTGATTTGTGAGCACAAAGCCAGGAGTCAGCCCTGAGCACCACTAGGTATCACCCAAAAACAAAAACAACGGCAGCAACAGCAAAATTGTATTCCTTTTTTTCCCCCCGAAAGGTTTTTCAGTGAACTTCTTCATCTTTCCCACACAACTTTTTTTTTTCAGTCTTTTTGATTTTTATTTTGGTTTGGGTCACACCTGGCGGTGCTCAGAACTTACTCCTTACCCTCTTCATCCAGGAATCACTCCTGGCCAGGCTCGGTGAACTATATGGGGTGCCGTGGATTGAACTGTGTGCAATGTAGCTGCCGGTTTGCCGTGTGCAAGAAAGGTGCCCTATTTGCTGTGCCATCATTCCAGCCCCTAACTTGCCATGATTACTGTCATTTTTTTGGTTGACATAATTGGCTTATTGGAGTAAGTATACCATGCTGTCTGAGTTACCTAAGGTTCCAGGCCATGGGGCTTCAGCAACAAACTTTCTTAGACTTGGAGAAACTTAGGCGTCAAGGTGCCCTGCTCTCTTGCTGTTTATTTCCTTGTTGAGGCTGTCTTTTCAGACAGTCAGATTGACGCAATGTTCTGCCTCTTTTTCATGAAATTAACAAATCTGTTTTATGATTAGTTCCTCATACTGTATACTTCCTGCTTTGTAACTATGTAACATTATCTGTCCCTTTTTCTTTTCCCTGACTTAAGACTTTTCCCCATCCTTCTATCACTGGGCAGCTGCTGAATCACATATCCAGTTGTTAGCTTTTTATTTGGACACTTAATGTGGACCTTATGTTTGTGAGGTCAGGGTGTGTTCACTCTCGAGTGTATAAAGCCACCTTTTAGCCAGTGGGAAATACTAGTGGATATCAGAATGTGTTTGTACGTGGTTTAAAAATTAGTTTTGCAGAGCTGAAGTGGTAACACTATGGGTAGGGTGCTTGTCTTGCATGCAGATGACCCAGGTTCGATCCCCAGCAGCCCAGATGGTCTGTGGAGCGCCCAAAAAATAAAAGGTTCCAACAAATTGCCCAGCTTCTGTTCTTGAAAGGCCTGTGCCGGGCTGGAGTGATAGCACAGTGGGTAGGGCGTTTGCCTTGCATGCAGCCAACCTGGGTTCGATTCCCAGCATCCCATATGGTCCCCTGAGCACTGCCAGGAGTAATTCCTGAGTGAAGAGCCAGGTGTAACCCCTGTGCATCGCTGGGTATGACCCAAAAAGCAAAAAAAAAAAAAAAAAAAAAATGCCTGCGCCTTGAAGAGCTGTGTGTGGTTCCAGGGGAAGGTGCGTTTTGAGGATGTGGCTGTGAGCTTCAGCTGGGAAGAGTGGCAGCATCTGAATGGGGAACAAAGGACCCTGTACCGCGATGTGATGCTGGAGACCTACAGTCACCTGGAATCAGTGGGTGAGTGACGCTCCCAGATACCGCCAGACACAAGCAGTGTTAAACAGAGTGGGCAGGAGGCGAGTGTGGGGGGTGGGTGACAGCGCTGCTGCTCGTGTGAGTACAGGAGGTCTCCACATCGGCTCTGGCATTACTGAACAGTCACTTGATCACTTGATATCCCGTTACTCATCAATTTGCTCGAGCGGGCCAATCCCAAGCCTTAAATCATCTGACCTGCATACGAAGCTAAGCGAGTTACAGAGGGGAGTGGGCCCCAGGCCCCGTGTGCACCACTTAAGAGGACCCCCCTGCCCCGCCCCCCCCACATACACCAAATGAGTCCATCTATAGTTCAGAAACTTGGTGCCATTGGATCTTAAGATTTGGAGCCAAAGGAGAATGTTCAAGGTTCAAGATCACATTTCATTTTACAGATCATAAAACCGGGCTTAGTGGAGCTGGAGAAATAGTACAGCTGGGAGGGCACTTACCTGACATAACGACAAGCTCTGTGTTGATCCCTGGCATCCCATAGGGTCCCCTGAGCCTTCCAGGAGTGATCCCTGAGCTCAGAACCAGGAGTGAATTTTGAGCATTACCGGATGCTCTCACCGCCGGTCCCCCCAACCCCCCCTCCCCCATGCGCACACACACCCCTGTGCTTTAGCAGTTAAGCCAGGGACCCACATTGATTTTTATCCACAGGACACTCAGTGAGCAAACCTGAGGTCATCACCAATTTGGAGCGAGGGGCAGAGCCCTGGACTGTCAGTGAGCACCTGGACCGGAGCCTCTCAGGTCAGTCAGTGCGGGGCAGAGAGGCTGGGGGAAGGATGCAGAGGTTGGTTGTACTGAGCTTTTTCTCACTGATCATCTCTCTCTGGTTCCAGCGTTATGGCAGCTGGTCATTCAGTCTCAGGTAGGACTCCAGCTTGTAAATCTGTGGCTTTCTGTGATTTTATGTTATTGGACTTGCCCCAGATATCTACATAATCCTTACATGGCTGTAATCCAGATGGCCTCCACTTGGGAATTTTTTCTTGGTTAATTATATTCCCTGTATTTGTTTGGTTTTGTTGTTTTGGCTGTACCTGGCTGTGCTCAGTGATCACTCCTGGCATGGTTCAGGGAACCTTGTGCCGTGTCAGGGATCAAACCCAGGTTGACTGCGTACAGGACAAGCATCCTACTCTATCTGTCTCTCTGGCCCTAATATAGTCCCAGTATTTTCAGGTATCCTACTCTCCTGGGTGTTTTTATTGTAGACTTTATATATATATATTTGCTTACTCATTTGGCTTTTTAGAAAATCACCGTTTTACTAGTACTGGGTATACCAGTAATGATAAAAATATTATTTTAACAGTGCTTCAGTTCTGTTGAAATACATTTGTATTTGTGTGTGTGTGTGTGTGTGTGCGTGTGTGTATACTTATCTCTTAATCATTTAACTTCCCGTTAATCGTTGATTTGCTCGAGCGGGCACCAGTAATGTCTCCATTTGTCCCTGTCACGTGCTAGTGTAGCCCAGTGGCGTCTGTTCACTCTAGGAACATGAAGAGCCTCAAACCAATCGTTCATGATCTTGATGAAGAAGTCTGACCATCTGGTAGGTGGGCGGCCACGCGGTCTTTTGACATCCCGTGGAATCCAGTCGGTAACAGCTCTAGTCCAGCGGTCATCTTTAAATCTCATTACGTGACCAGCTCATCTGATTTTTGACACCTTGGCAAACGAGACAGCGTCCCTGATTCTTGATCGTTGACGGATGTCAGAACTCTGGATTCTTTCTCTCATTTGAGTGAAACGTGATATTCCAAGCATAGCTCTTTCTATTCTTCTTTGGGAGACCTGAATAGCGTTCTCATCTTGTTTGCGTAGGGCCCAGGTCTCTGAGGCATATGTTAATGCAGGAAGAACAGTGGAATCAAAGAGATGTGCCCGGAGCCGGAGGTTCTTCGTCCTCTTAGCTATTTCTTCGACGTTCTTGAAGGCGTTCCAAGCCGCTCTCTTCCTCCTGCGCAGCTCGGGTGCCAGGTCATTAGTCATGTTGACTTCTCGACCTAGACAATGTTTATGAGAAACAGCCTCGTTCCTGACGCCCCATTCGCTCTCAACGGAATGACCATCTCCGAATGCAACAGCTATGTGTGTGTATACAACCATGAAAAAAATGTTTAACCAACCAGGAGAGAGAAAAATGAAGGCCATCGTTTTAATAAAATATAAAAGAAAATGATTCAGGGCTGGAGTGATAGCACAGCGGGTTGGGTGTTTGCCTTGCACACAGCGAACCTGGGTTCAATTCCCAGCATCCTATATGGTCCCCTGAGCACTGCCACGAGTAATTCCTGAGTGCAGAGCCAGGAGTAACCCCTGTCTGTTCCTCTCTGGATGTGACCCAAAAAGCAAAATAAAAAAAAGAAAGAAAGAGAATGATACAAATGGTACTTTTAGGAGCTTAATGGTGTTTTTGCTTTTCAGCCACACCTCGTGGTGATCAGGTTACTTCCAACTGGGAACATTGCTTGGGGTCACTCCACTGGGCAGGAGTTTAACCTAGTCATCCCATACATAAAGATTGTGTTCCAGACCATTGAACTCTCTTTCTGGCCCTGGATTTAATACTTATCTTGGAGCTTAAGTTAGAGATGACTTCTATTTTGACATGTAATTTCTCTTTGTTTTGTTTTGCTTTGTTTTTGTGTTTGTGTGTGTGCCAGATCTGATGGTACTCAGGGATCATTTTTTGTCTTGCCTGAGGACCATATAGTGCCAGGGATCAAACTGGAGTCAGTCGCATGCAAAGCCTGTATACCTTAATCGTTATCCTATCTTCCTAGCCCCTTGATGTATAATTCTTAGTTTTAGATACATTTTGGTATGTTGGGTATGTCTATTACTGCTAGAGATGCTCATTTGTAAATTGTTTATTCAAAACTGGTAGGAAGTCAAGATCCTTTTTAGGAAAATGAGCAAAGCACCTTTTAATCACAATAATAATTTTGAATCTGAGACGGATTCCCAGAAAGGGGTTATGTGTAATGTGAAAAGGAAAATTAGAGAAAATCATGTTGGTAAAATAGTTCAGATTAGCAAGGATCAGACTTAAAATAATGCAGTTTAAAGTTACCATTTTTAGGGGCCACAGGATGGTACGGTGGATAGTGTGCTTTCTTTGCACACCGCAGACCTGGGTTTGATCCTGGCATTCCATATGGTCCCCTGGGCACTTCCAGAAGTGATCCCTGAGAATGCAGAGCCAGGAATAAGAAAGACCTAAGCACTGCCAGGTATGGCCCTAAATTTAAAATATATAATAGCTTGTAAAATAAAATAAAGTCACCATTTTTTCACTTCCTTTGTGGAGGTCATTCTTAAAATCTACAGAAAGAGTAGCTGAGGGGCTGGAGTGATAACATTTGCCTTGCATGTGACCGACCCTTGTTTGATTTCCAGCATCTTATATGATTCCCCAAGTAACCAACAGGAGTAATTCCTGAGTGCATGAGCCAGGAATAGCCCCTGTGTATCACTGGGTGTGACCCAAAAAACAAAAACAAAAAAAAAAGGAAAGAAAGAAAGAGTAGCTGAATTATTTGACCAAGTTTCTCTTTTGTTTTGGCACCATACTTGTCTGTGCTCAGAGCTTACACCTAACTGTTAGCCACTGTACTATCTCTCTGGCCTTGACCAAGTATTTTATTTTCTTTTAAGAATTTTTATTGTGGGGCCAGAGTGATAGTGCAGTCGGTAGCACACGCAGCTGATTCAGGTTCGCCCCCAACATCATTTACGGTCCACCATATACCTTCAGGAGTAATTCCTGAACAGAGCCAGGAACAACCCCTGAGCACCTCCAGGTGTTGCCCAAAAAGGGTTGAAGGAGGGGGTAGGATTTTAAATTGTGAAGAAACACTGAAAGAAAACAAATTCTGATTTGGAGTTAGAGTATTAGCACTTTTTTTTTCTTTTATATGTAAAGGAAAAATATTCTCTCTCAAAATCAGTACCTACCCTGATATTTTAATATTTTGTGCTTCTAGGATTGAGTTTATTCATGCTGAACCTTGGATTTCACAAGGAATATGAGGTCTGAATTACAAATGTTTATTTTCTCTCATCTTAGGTATTCATACTGTGGATGACTTTATTGAGAACAACCAGAAAAATCAGGGTGGACATTTTTTACAAGTTGTAATCACCAATAGGAAAACAGCCAACAAGGGACCTGACTTAGGAAAGGCATTGAATTTGCATTCGATCTATATTTTAAGTCCTTTTATAAGCAATGGAAAATATTCACGAATAACACAGAAGTGTAATGTGTATGAGAACAAGTTTCTTCCTGTTGAGTCCAATGTGATCCATGTTGTAGAGAAACCTGAGGGCCTCCACAATACTGGGAACTCTCTCAGATATTCAGAACATCCTCGTCTTCATCAGGAGTGTGAGTATACAACCCTCAATGGACATCACAACGCATACACTGGAGCGAAAACCTGTGACTGTAAGTTATGTAGAAAATCTTTCCCCCAGAAGTCAGACCACAGTGCACATCAAAGAGAAAAGAAATCCTATGAATGTGAAGACTGTAGAAAAGTTTTCTCCAAGAAGACTTCTCTTGTTATCCATCAGAGGACTCACACAGGAGAGAAACCATATGAGTGTAAGGAATGTCAGAAAACTTTCTATAGGAAGTCAGTCCTCTCTCTTCATCAGCGAATTCACACTGGAGAGAAACCTTACCAGTGTATAGAATGCTCAAAAACTTTCTCGTGGAAGTCGTCCCTCAGTGAACACCTAAGGATCCACACTGGAGAGAAACCCTATGAATGTAAAAAGTGTAGGAAAACTTTTGCCTGGAAGTCAGCACTGCGTGTCCATCAGAGGACACACACAGGAGAGAAACCTTACGAATGTAAACAGTGTCAGAAATCCTTCTGCCAAAAGGTACAACTTGTGGAACATCAGAGAACTCACACCGGAGAGAAACCTTTCGAATGTCAAGAATGCAGAAAAACTTTTAACAAAAAATCTCACCTCACTGTCCATCAGCGAATTCACACACAAGAAAAACCGTACGAATGTAAAGACTGTCTGAAGACTTTCTCCTGGAAGTCGGCCCTCACTGTCCATCAGAGAATACACACAGCAGAGAAACCATATGAATGTAAACAGTGTAGAAAAGCTTTCTCCCAGAAATCACGACTTGTTGTCCATGAGCGAACTCACACTGGTGTGAAACCCTATGAATGCAAAGTATGTTGTAAACGTTTCAACCAAAAGTCAGGCCTAAATGAGCATCAAAGGATCCACACACAAGAGAAACCTTACAAATGCAAAGAATGTGGGAAATTGTTCACTTGGAAGTCTGCCCTCAATGTCCATCAGCGAATTCACACTGGGGAGAAACCCTATGAATGTGATGAGTGTGGGAAAACGTTCTACAAGAAATCAGCCCTCACTGCTCACCAGCGAGTCCACACAGGAGTCAAACCTTATGAATGTCAGGAATGTTGGAAAACTTTCAGTATCAAGTCAGCCCTCACTGTCCATCAGAGAATTCACACGGGCGTGAAACCCTACGAATGTCAAGAATGTAGGAAAGGCTTCTCTCAGAAATCACGTCTCACTGGACATCAGGTAACTCACACAAGAGAAGCTCCATAAAAGGGGAGAAAATAGGTAGATTTCATTTATCACAGAACTCTTAGGAAAGAAACCCTGTGAATAGGACAAAGGTATGAAACCTTAACGAAAACTGTTGCATCTTATAGTCCAGCATGCAAGAAGCTATATACATGTATATAGGAAGTCTTTCAGAAGTTTCTCCTCCACTGTCCATCAGCAATTGAAATGACAAACCTTAGGAATGTAAAATACGCAGAGAATTGTCTAGAAGATGCCAGTCCTCACTTTTTAGCAGGTAACTCGCAAAGAACAGAGAGTATAAATGTGAAAACATGGAAAACACTTGACCTAGCATCACATCTTACTGTACACCTCCAAATTCACAAAGGAGGAAGAATTTAAGAGTCAAGAATGAAGAAAAACCTGTTCTGAGAGCAATTCTTATCATAAATGTGTGGAGGAAGGCTGCAGACTGAATATGTTTAATTTTGGCTTGGCTCTAAGCACTTTCATGCAGTGTACTGCAAATTCCAAAGATTCACAATTTGGAGTATCCTTCCCTGGTCTATATCAATAAAGTTAATTTACTATTGATTTGGCATGCTTTTATATTCACTCAGCCTTTAATAATTTGCTGTTGAATTTTTTTTACATTTCTGGTTTACATAATAAATTCTTATGCTTTTTTAAAAATATTCATTTATTGAATCACTATGGGGAAAGTTACAAAGTTTTCAGGTTTAAGTCTCAGTCATGCAATGATCAAACACCTTTCCCATTACCAGTACTTATTTTTCACCCAAGAACCCAATATAATCCCCCTCCCTCCCCTCCCAATGCCTGTGAGGCAGATGAATTCTACTTAATTCTCTATCTACTTTGATTACATTCATTATTTTGACAGAAGATGCATCATTATTGTTTAGAGTTTACACCCAACAATCAGAACTGCTGAAAAGGCATTGTGAAATATTTTGTTTTCTACAGCTGGTTATGAGAACCATATGATGTCGCACAGCCGCTATTGCAGTGGCACAATTTTGGATTTCTGATATTTTACTTATTAAGCCTGGAGGGATATCTGCCAAGAGCCAGATAATTACGAGATTGGTTTCTGTGGCTCTGGAGCCATGGTTGTGCCAGAGAGCCGCTCGTGGGGGGCAACTCGTGACCTCAGTAGGGCGTGAAGAACGAGCCGGCAACGAGCCCTTCCCATGAGGTTGCAGTTGCCCTGTCACCGCTGGCTCATAACCTGGCTTTCCAAAAAGCTCCGAGGCCAATTCTTATGCTTTTATTTTCTGCCTTGTGTGTTTAGTCTCTTGAATAGTATTTTAATAGATTTTAAGCAATTAATGGGCTGGAGCGATAGCACAGCGGTACGGCATTTGCCTTGCCTGCAGCTGGCCCGGCCGAGCTCGGTTCAATTCTTCTGCCCCTTTTGGAGAGCCTGGCAAGCTACCGAGAGTATCTTGCCCACACGGCAAAGCCTGGCAAGCTACCCATGACTTGATGTATTCGATATGCCAAACACAGTAACAACAAAGTCTCACAGTGGAGATGTTACTTGGTCTGGGACAGTGCTACAGTGCTAAGCAATTAATATGTATAAAAGAAGTGACCTTTTATCTGTATTGTTTTCACACCTGGAAGTGCCCAGGGATCCGTCCTGGCAGTGCTTAGGGACAATGTGGGGTGCTGGGGATTTATAGCAAATGTATTTATAAGGCCCTCCCGTTGATCGTCGATTTGCTCGAGCAGGCCCAGTAACGTCTCCACTGGAGACTTTGTTGTTACTGTGTTTGGCATATCGAATATGTCACGGGGAGCTTGCCAGGCTTTGCTGTGCGGGCTCGATACTCTCAGTAGCTTGCCGGGCTCTCCGAGAGGGGCGGAGGAATCGAACTCGGTTTGGCCATGTTGGCCACTTGTAAGGCGAACGCCCTACCGCTGTGCTATCGCTCTAATGTATGCATATGCAAATGAAAGGGGGTTTTTGTTTGGTCTTGTTTTGCTATTTTTGGTTCACACCCAGTGATGCTCGGGGGTTACTCCTGGCCATGCTCAGGATTGAACCCAGGTCGCTGCGTACAAGACAAACACCCTCCCCACTGTGCTATCACTCCGGTTCATTGAAAGTTATTTTTAATGTTATTTACAGTCCTACCAATATTTCATCACCTAGAGTGGTAGCATCTGTCCTTCGGTCCAGTTTATTGAAATGTTTGGGGGGGTGGGGGGAGGTGTAGAGGAGAATTTGGAATTCCTTGGAAGATGTGTGCTCGTCTCACTCATCAGGTATCTCCACGTTGCTTGTGGACATAGTTCTCTTTTGAGTTGTCAGATGCCACACATCCCAATTTTCTCCAGCATCTTGGCTTTTTCTCTGCTATGATGGTTCTATATCCATGTATCTCCACCCACAAAATCTCATCTCTCTCTCTTTTCCCCTCTTCCTCCTCCCACTCTTCATTAACTCATTATGGTTGTGATTTGGATTGTCCTAATGATCTTTTCATATGTATTCTATGTACATATCTTACTTGTAGAATATCCCTTTCAAGTGCTTTATGTAGTTGGTTTACTTGTACTCTCTCCAGCTCGGCTCACTTTAATATATGTTGGATTATGGTTCCAGCATTTTAGGTGTAACTTTGGTTTGTCCTTCCTCCCCCTCTCCCTCCACCCCACCTCAGGGAGCTTAGCTTTACTGAGTTACACCCACCACAGTGCTCCCAGGCACACGCAATTCCATCAGGGCACTCCCAATATTTTGGTTATCTTTAACGTCTCCTTTGTGTTCTTCTTCCCCTATCTGCTAATTACTAATACTCCCAAATCAGACCATGTAACCTGTAGGTAAAATCTGAGGGCTCTGGGTTTTGTATAAGTGAAATGTTTTTTTCTCTTTCCATTATGTCCTTTGCATAGTTTATTTGGGAGCTATTCGTTTTATAGACACAGGAGGACAGTTAATGCTATGCTTTTGTAACTTGAGAATTAATTGACTCTGAATAATGTTTACTCCTGGGCATTCATTGTATTTACTTAATCCTCAGTTGCCTTTAGTTCCTAACACCCCAAAAGGGGGTCCCTGTAAGGGATATGCATGAACTTAGGGCAAGCCATAAGCTACCCTGGCACTGAAAAGGGTTAGGCTAAGCACCATAAGAAATATAAGTTAAGAGCATGGTCATGGGACAAAGTCTGACATGACTCAAAAAAAATGACTGAATAAGGACCCTGTGGGGTTAGGAAACATAACGTGATCCGAGGACTCTGTAGTCTGGGACATATATGTATGTATGTATATATATATATATATATATATATAGAGAGAGAGAGAGAGAGAGAGAGAGAACCCTTTTTTAAAAAATTTTTATTAGTGAAACACCATGAGGTACAGTTGTAGACTTACAAATTTTTGTGCTTGGGTTTCAGTTATACAATGATCAAGTACCCATCCCTCCACCAGTGCCCGTTTCCCACCACAGTATCCCTCCCACCCCTCCACCCCGCCCCCACCCTGCCTCTATGGCAGGGCATTCCCTTTTGTTCGAGAGAGAGAGACCTTTTAAGCTCAATCTTTTACTGTGTTCATACAAAATGACGAGAAATAATTAAATTTAATATGATTCTTTAAGTGGATTATTAGCAAAGAAAAGGAGGAAGCAATA